CAATGGTCACTTGATTGACCGACAAATCGGCTCTCACCGATTAGGTAGACGCTGACCGACGTTAATTAATTGATTAACTACCCCCTAAATTTTCTTTCATCTTATAGATCGCGTTTATCGCGTCATTCAACAATCGATTAGTGACTTTAGAATTATTTTCCACGCAATTTCATACATCTAAGGAACATTGTAAATGCGTTTACTATCACTTATCGAATCAATAAAATGCTTGGTAAAGTGCATTATGTATCTGGAAAGCAATTTGTATAATTCGTTCAACACACTTGGTAATAATTATTAACTTTACCCTTTCAGGTAATATCATTTTATGCAAATCGCATTAATTTAGTGGAGTTACAAACATTAAATTCATTTAATAAACATTTCTCAACGAAAAGTTATTTTGTCATCACAGTTTGATATATATAACTCCTGATTTGCTCAATTTCAATGTAAAATAATTGAAAGAGTTACGTGATTATTTTTTATTGCAGTGCTATTGCGTTGTTAGTGTAAATTTATTAACGAAATTCCGTGACGACGTCTGAATATTTGAATGAAAGTTTATATTGATTTTTTTAGATGTGTAGGACCCAATGAGAACCTTTGCTTTCATAAAGATCAAAATATTAAGAGTTCCTTAAGTCGATGCGCAGGCGAGGTGAAAGACTAGAGTAAATCAATATATTTATATCACGTATACGCGCTGACTCCCCGAGAATATATGGTAAGATATTCCAGCGTGAGAAAGTATACAACATTTTCTAATAATAATTATGACCGTCACTCCCTCGCTCTATGAATTACTAACATGTAACATGAATTTATCACTTAACTTTGTAAAATATATAAATTATTATATTTCTCGATGAAATTAAAAATTAACATGTAAATGAAATTGAAATTTCGTATCTTATTCCAGAAATATTCAATGAATATAAATGGAAAATGTAAAATCTCGAATTCGTTCATTAGATTGTCCGTTCTAATGGGCATTGTAGCCGCATAGATCTTTGTATGCTAGTAATCAATGAAATATATTAGAAACGTATTGAGCCAGCTCTCGAGGAAAGAGCTGGGCTGAGATGTGCCCGCCCACGCATCTTTAAGCCGATCGTGCCTTCCGGCCAATTGCGAATCGATCCTCTCGCCGTGACGCGTAATTCGGAAGTTTGTTGCGATTATCGAACCAATTGCGGTAAAATGATCTCGTCAACTGCCAGAAGACCCATGAGACCGGACGGAGGGATGGATGTCATCCCTTCAAATAATAAAAGGCCACGCACGTAGGGGCCAAGCGCTGCCCGGCCTAATCCACAGAACTTCACTTTTCGTATACTTTCGTATACTTCCGGAGGGGAGTCCCTAACATTCGTGCTTCAATTTTCGTGTTATATAATTTTTCGAGGGGACCGAGTCCCTCAGTTTTCGATATTTGTCAAAATTATTGGAAATTTGTAGAACCAACAACTACTTTATTAATACAAGTAAAAGTTATTACCAGTAATTTATCTTTCTTCTTCTCTGTTCTTTAGCTTTAACGAACGACCTATCACATCAATTTCTTAACTACACGCTATATTGGTCCCGCAATTTCATTTCGTTCAATATTGGCCTTAAGATTAGCTGAACCCGGTCCCTGAAAGTGTCTGGGATAGAACTACATCTACCAGGGATAGTTAAATTCTACAATTCGTGCCGTAAGGCTTTTGACCCTTTGGTCAAATCAGTCCACATTGCTCTCGGTTTTATCGCACGATAGTGCAGACCAAAAGCAGCGTAATTAAACGTGTCCACTTTTCCGACATGAAAATTGCAATGCGACGGATATATCGGTCGTAATTACAACCAAACGCACACAAAATAACTTTTAGCTGTACATTCACCTAAATCCTGATTCGAGTTCAAACTATTTCAACGTTTTTAAGTAGTTTCAAGTTATATCGTTACATTTTGCCGAAAAGTTTCATAAGAATTTTCAAATGTCCAATAATTCAGAAATTTTCAAGCTAAGGGTATTTTATTGGGATACATTACACTCTTAACAACACTTCGAAAAGCAAAATCTTAAAAAACTTATTTAGTAACTAAAATATTTAAAGTAGTTAAGAGTGAAGAAAACTTAAGCAGGTTTGCCATCTTGCCATAATGAAATACCGAAATCCTAAATAACGTTATTTTCCAGAAAAGCAAATGATACTATAAGAAAAATATCGTGTCGACGGCGGAGCACAGTGCAGACAGCTATTTCATGAATTTTACTGTTCTTATTTGATTGTGAACTTTCTGTAAAGATCTAAGTTATCCCGCATTGTAACTTACTCAAGGAGTACTGCATGACTGACATATCTACAAAAAATAATTGTACCATAGGGACCTCATCATCTGTAAAAGAGAATGTATATATTCACCGGTTATTATTATCACGATTTGAAAACAATAAGTTATATTGTTGATAAACCAACAACACATGGTAATTTCATACTTTTTGACACGTTCCATTTTTTCAAAAAGAAGGAAACGTCGGCACCGATTTACAATCAGAAGGTTCTGTAAAAACTTAATTTTATTCATAGTGATTGTTTACTAAAAATGTAAATTAGTTTATACAGATAACTATAACGTTGTTTATTATGAAGTGTAGACCTTTTTTTATAGCGAAAAAGATTAAATCATAAATTCAAAATGCGCAGTTCTAAAGATATCTATACTTAGAAACAAGATGTACACAAAAAGGTCGACGTGACGTAATATGATTATGCTATAAAAAAACTTGCACCATTTGCATAATTATTTTCTATTATGCAAAGCTTTTTTTTTATTAGTCAAGTCAAGATATTTTTTTTATTAGTCATTTGACTAAATCTTTTCAAAATGATAACTGGTTCATTCGATATCAGGTAATTTTTTCATAAGCAAAGTTAATGACGAAACAACTCGAGTCAGTTATTGCTGAAACCGTAGTAGTTTGCATATGAAAATCAAAGAAATGTGAAAAAATGTTGAAATTTTCGATCGACAATGCAATGCGACTAATTCGATGGCAATACATTGAAAATCAGGGCTGATGAAAAAATGATGATGTTGGAGGAAGCATTAAAGTTTCGTACGAGCTCGCATTTCTGTGATACGGAGGAGTAGTTAAAAAAGGGACAGAAGTAAGGCTGCCTAGTGGATAGGTCGATATATCTCAGTGTCGGCTATCACTCGGCTACAATTAAGGTACTGGTCATACAGCACCGAGGTCTTTCTTTCCTTTCCATTGTTATTTCAGATACTTCTCTCTCGCTGACTGTCTGATTCAGAGAACTACAGCTAGAAAATTTTCATTAGCCTCGTACATGAAAAGCAATCTCGTGCTAACTCTCGAGTGACTCAAGTATCAAGTTAGTTCCCCTTTTTTTCCTTCTTTCCTCGAGTTAATCTTTGCACGTTTTCTCGTGCATGTATCGCAAGATCTCTGTGTCATATGCTCCTCGGTATTTGTGTTTTGAAGCTGCTGAAGCTGCTATGTACAACAACAGTTTTCTAAACTAGATCGTTCGTTTACAAGGCAAACAGTTGAGTTGTGCAGCACGTATAAATGGAATTATGTTTACATTGTCGACACACTTTGACGCGTGACACGCTAGCTAATCGATTACGTGTGTTTTGCATATTTTCCTTGATTTCAACCGAGTTTATTTGGAAACGTAAAGCCTTGCACGCCTGATCAAAGTGTTTTCATAATTTGAACTTTGCCGAAGTGAAAGCAAAGCCATGTGGGTGGAGCAGTTTCTACACGTGAACTTATAATTCACGTTGTATTGATAAACTTATCGCGATGTCGATTTCCAGCAAATATACGACAATTTTATCGGAGTTATTCAATCAATTTAACTATGAATTGGAAGGGAAACCGTTGCAATAACTTGTATTGATCCTATGCTATAATTCACGTTGTATATATATCCGCTAGCGTTCCTATGAAATTTATAAGATAGTCATATTGTTGCGTTTACTTGGCTTCCTTACCTAATGAAAGTTTCTTGCCATTTTCAAGAAATGTCGAGCGTATTAACGAACCTAAATTACTCGTCCTTGACATTATTCAAACGATACCAATTGTCCATTAGTCTTCTCTCGTCTATTAATTGCCGTCTCGTGCGCCACGGCAAATTCTAGCGAAAGGCAAGAATCTTTTATCAGTGGGAAAACAATGGCTTCGAACAGAGTGTCAGCCGATAACCCAATCGTTGTCCACTTTACAACGATGCAATCATTGTATTAGTCGACTCAGTTCTAGCGAGCGAATTCAATGCACAATTTTATTCGTAGGTTATTGCGTATTTTAAGCCCGTTCATCGAAAATGTGTCATCGTTAGCAGACGCGTTCATTTTAATACTAAAAGAGTTGATTTTTGAAAAGGGAAAATTTATCGACGCGATACCATTCCCATAAATACTTTTACAAGTAAGCTCTCTCTGAACGCAAGACAGCCGAAGACCGGGCTCGTTTTCCTGTTCAAAACTCCCAATGCAATGGCCCATGTCCGACCCCCTTGGATCAAACGTGCCCTCGGTTGGTTCGCTACCACGCGTACAAGCGAGTATAAAACATTTGCTCGAATCATCATTATGTAACTTTGCTCCATATCGGCCTTTCGGAAGAACGGTGCCAGCGATATTTTGGATAAAGTCGCCTTCTCCGCGAATCTCCAATGAAAATTGTCGACCATCGACAGTCGAGCAAAGCTCGTTCCATCGACTCTAACGGCATTACGGCCCGCTCGTCCATTTTCGAGGGCTGCCTCGTCGTCGCGTTCACTCGCTCGGCCTAATCGAGGGATCGGGTCGCGAGGCGCACCGGGCACCCGAGCGACGCCGTCGGAGCCACCAGCGGAAAGCGAGGCACGCGGATCGATAGGCGAGGCGGGCCGCGGACGCAGCACCCTCCCGGCCCTCGCGGCAGGGCTCGGCCGACACAACAGGTCCCGGCGGGCACGTGCGAGGCTACTCACTCGACGAGTCAGGGCAGTGGAGGCGCATGGCGGTCAGGGCTCGGCTGGCGTCGGCCGCGCCGCGGCCGCCGCAGCCCGCGCGCGCGCCGCCCGCAGCTGGGTTGGAGCCTGTGGCGCCTCGGAGTCGTCGGCGGACGCGCCGTCCGCTGGTGTCGCCGCGCTGGCGCGATGCGCGCGCGCGCGCTGGGTGTGCGGCGCCGGAGCTAGCGGCCAGCCGCGGCCTGGGCGGGCTGCCTGGAGAAAGGCGCGCGGCCGGGGCGGGCCTCGCCTGCCGGGGCGCCGCGCTCGCCCGCGGCCCTCTGCGCCGCCTCGCCGGGCCCGCGCTGGCGCTGCTGCAGCTGGTGGTGGTCGTCGTCGTCGTCGCACTCGCCGCGGCCGCGCCGGCTGGTCATGGCGCCGCGGCGGCCCACCGCGCCATGCACGCGCGCACTGCGGCCGCGCTCGCTCGCTCTGGCTCTGGGCACTGCCGTGCCGACTCCCGTGCGCAGCAGCCGCCCCGCCGCCAAGAGCTCGAGCTGGCTGCACTGCCGGTCCGCTGCTGCTGCTCGACTGGCGCGGCCGCCCGCGCCGCCCGCGCCGCGGCCGCCGAGCGCGCACGCGCACGTCACACCCTCGCGGCGGCGGCGGCGGCGGCGGCGCGCGGCGCGCCGGGCCCGGTCCAGGCGCCGCGCCCGCGCTCCGGTCCGCGGCTCGCGCGCCGCTGGCCTATCGATTTCCGATCGCCGGGAGCCCGCGGGCGCCGCGCCGGGACCCGGGGGCCTCGTCGCGCGCCCTTCGCCGTGCGCCGCGGCGTCGCGGCCGAGTCCTGAGCCAGCGATCGATCGGCCGCCCGGAGTGCTGCCTCGGCCCGGCGAAGTCGCGAGTCGGCCGTTCGATCCGCCGCGGCGTTTGGCTGTCGCGTGCTCCGCCCGCGCCAGCGCGCCGTGCGTCTTCGGCCTTCGAGCGCGGCCAGAGCTTGCGCGGGCCTGCGTGCGCTCGAGTTTGGATCGTCTCCGTTGCAGCTCGTCGATCGATACGCCACTCGGCCGCTGGCGGGCTGCACCGACAAAATCAAACGTGCCGCGGACGTTTGCGCGCGACGTCGCCTCGATCCCACCAATATTCTCGTGTTGTCTTTCAAGCCGACCGATTGAATTGGGCTGCCAGCGATCCTTTAGACGCCCAAGTTGCGTGCAGCGCGTCAAACTTCCAGTTGGAATCTCAATTATTTGCTCTAAAGGCAATCGAGACTTTGCTTGCAAATTACTGGGAGGTGGAGACAGCGGCGTGTCGAAAATAGGGGGGAGAGCCGAGAGGCTGGAAGGTTAGGGGATGCAAAGACGCGCGCAACCGAAAGCTCGGGCGAAGCGTGTCGCCGTGCGTCTCGCAAGACGCGAACGCGGCGTGTGCTCTCTCGGGGCGCGAGCCGCTGTGCTCGAGCGAGGCTTCACCTCTCCGAGAGTTGCGCGCGACGCGAGCGCCGACAAGCTCACTTGAATCTTCGCCTCCGCTCTCCTCGGCTGCTCTTTCTCGGCGTCTAGCTTCTCTGCCGTCAAGTTGCCCGGCGCAGCCAGGAAGCGAGCAAAGTATAAAATCGTAATGCGCGCTTGAGCCGACTGGGGGGACGCGATTAACCCAAGTTATCAATTAAGCTGTCTCCGGAGATCAGCAAGCCCCTCTGCTCGGCTCGCCCGTTTTGCGGGTGGAGCGCGCGGCTGCCGCCTTAAATTCCCTCCTGGGATTAAAAACTGCTGGCCGACTGCGCGCACTCCTTGCTCGAGCAACGCCGGCGGAGGACAACGGAGCGGAGATAAACGTCCGGCGGACGAGGAACTGACAAGCAGTCGCCGACGTCCCGAGCCGTTGGCATTTCGGCGAAGGAGCGGCAAGGAGAGCGCGCGCCAATTGATTTGCCGGGTGGACGGGGGGTGGCTCGAGAAGGGGAGCTGGATATGGCCAACGGAGCGGCCATCGTCCATCTTTGCGGGTGGCGCGCTCCTTGTCCGCGGCACCGACAGTCGTCGGAGTCTAGCTCGTCACCGTAGCGGCCTGCTTCTCAATCCATCAGCCCGGCTGCTTCGACCCTCGGTCCGGCCCGGCTTTGTTTGCCTCCTCCAGCCTCTGGTTTTTCCGCTCGCTTTGCTCGACGCGCACCGCGATAAATCTAAGCCTGGTTGAATCAAGTGTCTCTTGCCGACGACCTTTCGCTCTATGTGTACCGCGATGGCGGGCCACTCTAGAAACGCAGACAGCACGGCCGAGTGAAAGGAAAGGGGGATGCCTTCCAATCCAGTCGACTAGCTGGCTCCGAGTATATACACCGTCGGTGTTTACTCTGGCCGTTAGCTCTTCGCAGCAGCCCCCGAGCCTCGCTCGCTCTATCTTTCATTTTCGCTGTTGATCTGCGCCCGCCGTCTTTACCGAGTCCACTCTCCCTCTCCCTTTGTGAGCCTCTCTCTCTCTCTCTCGCTCACCCGCAAAGAAGCTTGACTTTTCTGGGTCGACGTTTTCTACTTCTTCCTTCCTTCGTTTTGCCCACTGATTTTATTGACTGCACGCTCCTCTTTCCGCACGCGCGCGCGCGCGTGCACACACACACAGCCCAAAACGCGCTCTCCGAGGATGTGTCATTGAAAGCATTCGCCGCCCTCGCTGTTCGCAAAAACTGCTATTGCACTTTATCGGGAGCCGTTGGCCGCCCCCCCCCCCTTCACTCGCAACCTCAGCAATTACATTTCATTTCCGACCTCCTGCTTTGAAAACGTTACACGACACTATACCTCCGTCCACGAGACCTTCTTGTTTTCCCTTTATTTTCAACTTGTCCATTCACTCGCAATACCAAATACATTGGAAACTGCATTGGAGAATGCACCTTGCAACCTTCTCGTCAAACAGCTCGTGCATTTAACAGCCTGGAACAGCATAAATGTTGAAACAACAAAGACCTAGACGTTCTAAAGCTGAAAAAACGACGGTGTGATAAATATAAAGGAATTATATAAAAAACTTCTGGTGAAAGTCTGACGTAGAGAGAACGACGCACTGGAGATGAGAGTGCAGGTAAGAGGGTGACAAATATCTTGAATTTCAGAGAGTAGTAGAAAGAATGTCGCACGAATGTAGTAGCTGTAAAGGGCTCAACGGCAAACAACATTACCGCCCAAGATTATTACTAAAGAGAATAAGAAGAGAGAAAACAAGAAAATGCAATTTATCTGGTTTCTTTACAGAGCAAAGTAATTTTTTTTTAGATTAAGGATACTTTTATGTCCCACCTTTATGACTAGATAAACAACGTTTATTATCTCAAGAGAAACTCAGGTAATAAGGTTGCCGAGAAAACATTTGAATAGCTATTTGAACCAACGCACAAACAATGTTTAATGTTATTAAAACGCTTACTGCTTTGACATTAATATAACAACGTAAACTAGTGTTTGACAAATGCTGAATGTTGCGTGAAGCGTAACGAACTTTCCTTTCCCGGAGAGAGCATTAAAGTATTTTTTGCTCCATCCCTCTAGCGAAAGTATGCGATTTGGCCGCTAGTTTACGCTAGAAAAAGGATCGTGTATTTGACCGCGACCCAAAGCTCGCTGTCTGTTTTCAACAGCCTAACCTTTAAAACAATATTTATTGCTGCAACTGTAATAATTCAATATAGTATTATGAAAACGAATAAAACCAAAATTGCACTCTAAATAACTTTTTTTCAAAACAATTTATTGAGACACTCTGTGATCGTAATTCCGTTGAAAAATAATAAAAACAGATAAAATCCTATTTAATCTACAAATATGAGTAACAAGTTGTCAGTGAAAATGAAGAATTCAAAACAAATAGAGTGAACTGGCTGAAAAGAGTTCATGTGTTGATTAAGACTACTCTTTTAATAATAATATAATTGTAAATAATTTTTGTTCGTGTAAAAATAAGTAAAAGTATAATAATTGCAACAAAAAGTGACTATACTGTTTTTGTTTATAGAAAATACTCGAGCAACTGTTAAATTTACGTTTATTTAAAATTATTGCGTGTGATCTGCTTGTTTATGTGTTTTGGATGCGATGCCCGGGTCAAGTAGCGGCACTCGCTAAGCTCGTAGGGGGAAAACACTTGAACGCACATAATCGAAGACTTTGGCAATCACCGCTTGGATTGATCGCGAGGGCGTTGACGCTGCCGAAACATACGGCGCAGATTCGATGTCAGTGGGATCGTGAACGAAAATCATTTTCCACTTTTCTCAACAGCACTTTCGCTCGGGAATCGAGAAAAATTAGAAAAACTATTTCTTACACGAATGGAAAATAGGCGTCTTGCGAGAAAATCTACTTTGGTTAATTGTAAGCCACCATGGGAAATGAGCTTTTGACGATACGTCAGGAGTTGAGCGGGCGACAATCAAAATGATGAAACATATCGGAAGGTGTCAGACTTTTCGAAACCCAGTGCAATTTCCCACGGGTATCGTGAATTTCCAGTATATATTTTGCTGCGCGCTCTTTAAAATGCTAACGGCATATTCTCTTTATCCATAATGCGTGTAAAGCATATTCCGCTAGAAGTGAAATGTAAAGTACGTGTTTTGCTTGCGTCGCGAAGCTTAAAAAGCCAAAAACACACGAAATTCAATGAAAGACAGCGTGCACGACGAATAGTTGGCACATTTTTTCACTTGCCTTACCGCCGGCGATTACGTTACTGACCGCTATTACTCTTGTTTTCAATTCAGTGCAGTACGCAATAACATTATTTTGTTGCAATCAAATAAATAAATTCCGTGTCTGTTTCTCATGTTACATCGCCATTATTTTTACAACGAATTTCCATTGTTTTCTTTATCAGGTCACATGAGATATTAGAATATTCATCGACTAGGTTATTCAAATATAATTAATAATTTGGACATTATATAGTATCGACAAGAAAATTATGTATTTATCAATATCATTACCAAGTCCGCTTCGCTCACCTAAACTACTGCTGAGTATTATTCGAATCTGCGGTTTGTGTCTGACCGCATCTCAGCTTCTTCTACTTGTATCGATCGTCTTCACCCCCTCCGTTCTTTCTCAATTAAATATTGAATATGAAACAAGTAAACTGCGATACACAAAGATAGTCTTCAACCATGTTACATTGTTAACGAATATTTACGAAATTTACATTACTTTGCGTATCATTTGACTGGTGCGCGTACAATTTACGATGAGGATTTCTTAAAAGTCAGTTGAACTCGTACGGTTTAGGTGCGAGAAAAGGAAATCCATGATAGTGCTTTTGCAACAAGGTGGTACTTTGATGAAATGAGCACGACGAGAAAGAAAGAGAGAGAGAGAGAGAGTATTGATAGTAAAAAAGAAAGGGAAGACGAGGAAGAGGCTGATAATGCTGCGGTCTATGGAAAGTGCAGCCGAGGTGAGGGACCAGCAGAAGCAGCAGCAGGGAATAGTCCGAAGAAAAGGGCGAGGTACGCCTCTGTCTTTTTCTCGGGGGCCTATGAATAAGGCATGGTAAGCGCGGGTCACACGTAGCAGCCGAGCTTTCAGTCTCCCCGCGGCTACAATGAGCTT